TTAAGAAAAATGAGAAAATTCACCCAACTACAAATCTACAAATGGGAGCTATTTTGAAACACACAAGCAAAGGAAATATAATGTTTCCTCTAACTCAATAGACTGCATCATTCTTCTTGAACACCCTCCACACACACACACACACACACACACACACACACACACACACAGAGCACAGCATATGCACACACACCGATGAGTGCACTCATTCTAATAGTTGTCAATTTTGTTTCAGAATAGCACTGATGAACCATGGGTATTGTTCACTGCTCACGTCAACATATGGTTATAGGCACTTCCAGTGGGAAGATATATATATATATATGTATATATATGTATACATATATTAATTTTCCTTTTCTCTTACAGCCTTCTCCTTCTATGATCATCAATATTGTTATTGTCATCATTGTTATTGTTATTATTACTGTCTAGTCTGTATCTTGCTGTACAGCTCATGCTGGCTTGGAACTCACCATTCTTCTGCTTCATCTTCTTGAGTGTTAGAAATGCAGGTGCGAGCCACCACACCTGACTAAAATTCCTTTCTCAACACCTCTTTCCTCAGGCCTGATCGCTACTCTGATGTCAGATAGCATTGAATAGCACAGTATAATCTGGGTGAGCCTGGGATTGACTTCTGTACTTCCACTGAGAAGAATGGGTTAGGCTGTTATCTATCTGAGTACAGTTCCCCATGCCTGTGGCCCCAGAATTTAAGGCTTTAAGGGCCTCATAAGTCACAAAGTGAGCACTTGCTTGAAAAAGCAAAACAGCAAACAAATGGACAAAAGCATCAGGGCATTTTAAATGTCTGCTTAGGAGGAAACATTTGGGGTTTATAGCATCCAGGAATATTAACTTGGAAAAATGCAGAGGCGGATACAAAGCTCTCATTTTGCCCTGTGTATCCATTTTAATAATGCATGGCCACGGTGATAAAAATAAGAGCTGGTATTTATTGGCTCTTGTTTTGTGCCAGGCTGTTTATCTAGCAGGTCACATGAAGTATAACGTTTAATGAGGCAGGTTCCACTACTCCATCTAGTCTCTAGAGGAGTCGACTGGCGCAGAGGGTCGATGAAGGTTGCCAAAATCACATAGCAAGGAAGGGAGGAGGTGATTGTAATCTGTGTTACAAGGCTGGGAGCAGAGCTTCTTCAGCCTTTGTCTTGATTTGAGTTTTGTTCTGTGCTATGACCTGAACATTCTATTTTGTGGTTTCTTTTATTTGGATATAGCTTTCAGGAGAATTCCAATCTTCGAAATAAGCTTACCACTTTTAATTTTTGGTGCCAAGTATGTAATGTACCATTTGGCCAACACGCCTGAGTTTTTGAGACTGCATCTCTCACTGGACCTGGAGTGCAGTGTTTGAGTTAGACTGACTATTCAAGAAGTCCCAGCCATTCCTCCATCACTGTCGCCTACAGGACTGTGCTAACAGGCATGTGAGGATACACCCGCACTTTCACTCTGGTGCCTAGGACCCAGATTCACGTCTTGATGCCTGTATAGAGGGAAACTCCTATTTGCTGACCTTCCTTCCTTACCTGCATTAGATCCTTTTTTTACATTCTCTTAGACTCCAGTAGTTTGCTACTGATAAAATGAGAAAAACAATGCCACCCACATGGTGCTATCCTTGTAACTAAAACAAATAGCATATTTTTAACGCCAAGTAGAGTTTTGATCTATGGTGGTGTAAGACACATTACTATCCTCTTGTCTTGCCTTAACCCTATTTACAATAGGAAAAAATAGTCACCATTCTCCATACAAAGATCTTGGAAGTGCCATTCACTGTCTGGCACTGTATTGGAAGGAACAACCTTAGTCTGGGATCTTCGATAAAGATTTAGTGTTTGAATCTTTTCAAAAATGTCTCCTAGCTACTCTGGCCAGATCTGATGCTCTGAGCACTCAGAAATGCATTTTTCTCCATAGGGCCTTGCTTGATGGCTTGGCAATAAGGGGGCCCTTGAATCAGGAGGAAAAAGACTCAGTTTCAGTTTACAGATTATGAATTTTGCATGTTCTAAATTTCTAAGTCATCTGTGTGCACTGTCAGGCCTCATGGGACAAACATCTCAACCCTCTGATTGGCAACACTGTACACCATTCTGTCGTTTTAAAACCTCCAAACCCAAAATTTCAAGACAGTCCCTTCTTCTTTAGGCCACGGAGAACTGGCCTGTGGGTTCCTACAACCTCTGCTTCTGAGTGGTAAATAATAAATATTAATAATCTTTCGATCTGCTGCCTTTCAAAGTATTGTGGGGGTTTTCCCCCACAGTTTAAAAACACACTTGGTGTTTTACCAAACGCTAACTTTTGAGAAGTTGTTTTATCTTTCATTGATCTGAGTATGTCTACGGAGACATGCAGAGATGGTCTTCTCAAAAGTGGTTATTGTGTAGACGGTCAATTTGGCTTCGTGGTGAGCATCCTGGCTTTGCTTCATTCTCTTTTCAGAACTTTCCTCCATCTGCCTTCAGCTCTCTGTTTTTAGAAGCATTCAACAAGCAGCTTGACTACCGTTGTGCTCTTTAAAACTATGATTTTAATGAACAGTGACAGGTTGACCCTTGTTGGACAGTGATGCATCAAGATCATTGTACAATTGCCTCTTAACCAAGGGCTCTTCTAGTCCACCAGCATCTGCACAGAAACACCTGGCACTTAGAATGTTTGCTTTACGTCAGTGTTGCCACATTTAGCAGATAAAAAGTAGGTGGTGCCTAGTTAGACTAGAGGGGCAGACAAATAAATTTTAGTATGAGTATGTGTCACACAGCATTTATGATGCACTTATTTTGAAATATTCCTTATGGTTTATCTGATATTTAGCTTAATTGGTCTTCCTGTATTTTATCTGGCAACTTGAGTTTTCTCCCTTTTGTATAAATAAAATAACAAACTCAGTTCAACTTCTTTCTACTCTCTTGAAATTTCACAACATGGAGCTGGCCAGTGGCTCTGCTTTTCATAAGTGAGTGGAGAAATTTGAAGCAAAGGATGAAGAAATATATTTGTGGTAGGGACAGGAATTCTCTCTAAAGATCCATCAAGCCACCGATTGTGATTGCACAGTTTTCTTATTTGCTTTATTCATTTCTCTTAAATACAAAAATAGGGAAGGCTCAACTAAAATGGTAAAGGAAAGCAGACTCTATGAAATCATTATTTTTTCCTTCCTTCATTCAGTACACATTTTGGGACAGTCTACTATCTGTTGGCATTGTTATATAGTGATAATAATATATTCGAATTCTACCTATTTGCATTCAGACTCAGGGTCACTGCATGTGTTTGGGTATTAATGGCTGTTGTTTTGACCAGCAAAGGCTGTAGGTGTCTGTCATGCTTCTTACCTTATATTCAAACAGCAACAGTAGATATAATCCCCATTATTGACAACTAGTGATGCATGTTACCAGAAGTCTTTTAGTTTCACCTCTACAAAACAGCTATATAAAGATTATTGTTATATCAATACCTATATTTTTTGTTAGAGCTGCATCACTACAACACCTCTGCTTCCCCATATCATTAAGTTGAATTATGACTTATTCTGTGTTTTTAGGAGCCAGAGGGTCAAAATACTGTTCCAGAAAACTGCTTCATTTTTTTAGACGTCAAATCACTCCTATCAGTTTCCCTTCTTAATTTTAAGTCATTTTTATCTATTTTGCAGTTTATGGAGAGTCTTATATGTTTTTGATTGGATTCATTCAAATAAGCTGTACAGCTGCTACTATGCCTTGTAATTTTTTTCATTACACTAAAAAGCCTCTTAAATCACCACTACTTAGAATTATATTGAAAATACTTATGATACTTTTATATACAGTGAGCTTAATGCCAGAATGTGAAAGCAAATTGATTGTAGGCAATTCTGTGCTTGAGCACCCCAGAGTAAAAAGAATTATACCAGTAACCCTGGGGACCCGCGGACAACAAGCCTTTCTTTGCACTCAGACAGCCATTGGCAGGTGGAAAAAAATGGAAACGATTGCTCAATTGTTATCTGAAACCATATAAACACATTTTTAATTCAGGGAAATAATTTTTGAAGGAGAAAATCACCTCAAGAGACACTTATGTTTAATGTTTTTAATTTAGTAAAATGAGCGTCAAGGAAAGCGTGTCATCTTTACCATAAGCATTGGAACCTCTTTAAGAGTGTCTGAAACATAGGCTGCCTGCTGTCCAGAGGATTCTTGGGCTGCAGAGGGGCTGGGCCTGGGTTAAAGGAAAAAAAAAAAAAAAACAACCTATGGAGACTTTTTACTTCTGATACCCTGGGCAGAGTGAGAAGTCCTTGGGGCTTTTAGGCAGAGTCTGTAATGACATACACCTCAGTCAACTTGAGGAGCAGCTGACACGCTTGAGTGACCTCAGACTGTAAGGCAAGAGAGTGAATTAACACTTCAGAGAGGGACCTTTGGTCAGGATTATGATCCCTGGTGTCCTGGCTCTTCAGAGTGAAACAGTCAGAGACAAAAAGGGACAAAAGACTGACATTCCAGACTGGATATTAGTAGTCACACTTCCTTCACCCAGCCAGCTTTGCCTGGGAGAGGTACTGGGGACCCTTGAAGGAATTGAAACAAAAGGCTAGATAGACTGTGTTTGCTGCCATCGGCCATGAATGCTTGAAGGGCACGAAAGGGGCACGAAAGCTTAGTGGGCTTGCAGACAATACGGCTCTGAAAGAAAGTGAGGCCTCTCACGTGAAAGCATATTTCCACCAGGGACATGGCCTCAAACACAGAGGTCTACAATTTTTTGGGATGGGTGTGGTGATATCTTGTTTAAACACTCTAGCAAGTGAAGCTTGTCTCGAGATCAGAGGGCAGAGCTAGCCACTAGCTAACCATAGAGGTTTGGAGGTCTGTACTGACAGACCGGAAGTGACATGGCTGGGCCGAGAGAATGTAGGTGGGAGGAGTCGGAGCTCAGTCTCTTTTTAGTCTGAGGATTTTGTAGAGATAAGAGCTCTAGTGGCTGGCTGCTCTGCTTCTCTGACCTTTCAGCTTTCAACCTCTAATATCTGACTCTGGGATTTTATTATTAAGACCTTTTAGAACTTGTCTTACAAATAGGTGCCTCTTAATCCTGCGCTCTTGAAGAGGGTGTTCCGTGCAAGGCCTTACTTCTGACTTCTCACACCTGTCCTTTCCACTATGTTGAGGCTTCAAGACCTGTAGCAGGTGTCCTGCATCTCACAGCCTACCTTTGAATCCTAGTTCCAAAGCTAATGAGCTGTGCAAACTTGGGCAAATTATTCATCCTGTCTGTGGGAACGCTGTGGGTACTATCCTCAAGTGCATCTTCAGTAGCTGGCTGTGGATCTTCAACTCTGGGTGAGTTTTGTTGTTGCATGAACTGAGTAAGCGAAAGTGTGTTAACACAGCTAGGCAAGAAGTACCATTTTCAGATGTATTTATCAAAATGATTTTCATGAACTAAAATAAGGTTCTGGCTGACAAAGTCCCTTGTTCAACCATGCACCCTCAAGAGTCCTCTGGTCCAATGTTTTTCTTTTATAGATAACTACAGCTTCTGGAAGTGGATCCCAAGATTGATATTGACAATGCCATCGACTAACTTCTCTGCCCCTTGTTTTCTAAGGTGTTCTGGTTCTTGACACCATGTAAACTAGACCTGGTCAGAACTTTCAGACCAATTATTAATACAGACCTTTCTTACTAATTTTCACCTGAGGCAGACCCATGTGAATGTATGAATTCCACAGATCATAAACCAATTTTCTCTGAATACTGTATACCTATATGATGAGATTCTTTTACAGTCACACCACTGATTAATCACAGCAGCTCTTGTTGGTCTTTCTAAGAGAGGGCTGCTAAAGTGCTTGACTCACAGAGCAACCTTGACATTTCTCAGCATCAACTTTGTTCTTGAACTTGCCAGAGATTAATCACTTAGCCTCAGACATACCTGGGAAGCATATCATACCCAAGTGACCTTATACTCCTGTTTCCTTCTACAGGCTCCATTCTGTTTCATCATTTCCTTTATGAAATAAATACTCTGTCAACAGTTACTTGGTTGAGTCATATAAGGGCTAATGTAGCACTCTGTTTTGATAAACTGGAACCAGTTGATATCCATGGTATCTGACTGTCCTTTTATTGTTCTACCTAGACCTCTGCTCTCCTAGGCCGGAGTTGAACACGCTTTCACTTGTATTCTTACCATTCATACTGCAGATGGATGCAACTTCCTGTCTGATAGTCTTGAGAATGCATTATGTAGATTGCAGTTCATTTAGACTGCAGCTGCCAGGTTGTGACACACAGAGATTAATCATCATGCCTGGGATAGCTTCATTACTTTGACTACCCATTACATCTTGCTGAGATTATAAAATGTTGTTTTTAATTTACAAGGCCTACACTAGCACTCACTCACCTCTTTGGTTCTATCAGGTCATTGGAAATTACTGTTATTTCTCATAAGTTTTGACTTTGAGACTGGAGCTTTCTAATATAGGATTGAGTAACATGTGTAGAAAAGAAAGCACATCATGTGTTTTATTAGAAGAAACATGAAAATTTACAGGGCATACCTAAAGAGCTGCTGTGGGAATTTCAAAGAGAGAACCAGTGACTGGGACTGGGAATGTTGCACAGTGGCAGAATGCTTGGGTAGCACACAGGAGGCTGTGAATTCAATCAGCTGCATTGCCAGGCAAAGCAAAACAAAAACTTGCATTAAACCTTCTTTCAAAAAAGACACATTATCACAAAAGTATAAAAGATTGCTCTGCGATAGTGAAATAACCAATTTAGCTTTGTCCAAGTGTAAATGTAAAAGCTAAAAGGGAAATTTCTGGTAGAAGAAAATCACTGCATAAATTTGGCTAGCTGAAATTAGGAAGAAATATATTGATTTCCCAAAACCTGTATCTCTATGAGATCGTTACAGAAACAAAAGCAAAATGTTAGGGTGGTTGTCGATGGGACATCTATGTAATACCTCTCCCCAAGAATGTAAGAGATGGAGGATGGGGAGGAGGGTTGTGAAAAGTCCTCTGATTTTCTGTGATGTCGCACATATGAATTTATGCAGCTGTGGTTGTCTCTACAAACTCTTCACAAGATCAGGCCAGCTAAACATTCCATCATGGGGACTGGGAAAAATGACTCAAGAGTTAAGAGCATCTATTGCTCTTCCAGAATAGCTTGATTCTCAGCACCCACATCATATGACTAACAACTGCCTGTAGTTCCAGATTCTCCTTGACCTCTTCATGCATGTAGCTTATACAACCACACTCACACACACACATACACACACAGACACACACACTCACACATGCATTCATGTGCACATACTAGTGCGCACACACATACACAGAGAGGCACAAATGTTGGCGTGTGATTAAACATAAAATGAATCTTTAAAAGAAAAATAATTTTCAGAATGGAGCCTAGGGAGATGGTACTCGTTGCTTTTCCACACAGATTGAGTTCAATTCCCAGGACCCATACTGGGTGGCTTACAACCACCTGTCATTCTACCTCCAGAGGATCCAACACCCTTTTCTGGCTTCTTTGGACAAATAGGCAGTATACACTCACACAAATAAAAGCAAAAGTAAAATTTAAAAAGCCCTGTATATGATTGGGAGAGGTTCATGAGGTCCCACCGCATCTGGGGAGCTTTTTAGCAATTGATGGCTGCTGGGAGACAGAGTCACTTTTCTTTGGGACATGATGGCTACTGGTAGGTTGCCCAGATCCACTGAATGAGTCCACACCTCTGCACATTCAGTCAGCACTAAAAGGAAAGGTGGGTTTAAATTTTAAAAAGAGGTCATGAAATGTTGAGGGGGGTAATGTTGGGAACCTGGAGGGAGTTAGAGGGAGGGATTAGAAAGTGGTTATGACCATGATACATTGTGTACCTGTGGGAGATGTTCAAAGAATAAAAAAAAAAAAAAGAATTCTCAAACTGTTTTCTGGAGGCAGGGATCTGGAGGCTTAAACTACAGCAGAGATCATGGAGGAGTGCTGTTTACTGGCTTGCTCCTCATAGTTTGGTCAGCCTGCTTTCTTATAGAAACCAGGACCACCTGCTCAGGGATGACACCACCCACAGTGAGACAGTTCTTCCCACACCAGCCACCAATAAAGAAAGTGTTCTATAGACTTGTCTACAGGCCAATCTGATGAGGTATTTCTCAATTGAGGTTCCTCTTGTGTAAAGTTGACCAAAAAAAAAAAAAAACCCAACAAAAAACAAAACATAAACAAAAACAACCAAAACAAAACAAAACAAAAAACCCAACTCAGGACAAAGCCAAAACCTCTTTTTAGATGTTCACCAAACATTATATGGCATGTTAGAAGCTGTAAATTTTTTTTATTTAATCCACTGTGTTTATTTTCCACAACATAAAGGTGATATATTTTTGCATTTCCCCAATGCATTTCTCAGTAATAACATAACCACTAAAAATATTTCTGTTTATGTAGGACAATGTTAATATACCTTAGCCAAGGAAAAAGCACACTATTATATACTGAAAGAGGGGAAAAAAGCCTCATTTGTTATCAAGAGGGAGTTGGAAATACAGCAATTATTATACTGCCCTTTCCCTAATTGAACTTAAATTAGTGATTTTATGTTATCAAAGGATATGAAATATGTAGTATGTTACCATAGGAGACAAAAATATTGCTTGCTCATATGTACGTTTATGATGTTAATCTATCTCTCAATGATCTAATATAAAATAAACCATTTGGAAGCAATTTCATTGAAATACTTCCAGAAATGTTGAAATGAAAATATTAATCTTTTGGAAGTGTCATTTGAAAATTTTTTTCATCCCAAGAAGATGGGTTGAGGAGTACTAAGAATAAACATGCAGCCATGAAGACAAAGACCAAGGCATAACGATGTTAACCTATAGCCAAGAATCCTCTTCTTTTCCTCCTCTCTGCTTCCTCTCTCTCCCCCGACAAATATTATGGAAAAGCAACGGTCCACAAAGTATTGTGCCAGGTTTTGTTGTAGAAGAAAGGCCTTATCTGACTGAGTCTGTACACTGGAGAGTTTCCTTAGGGGTGTATTGAATTCTTCAGAGGATGTCTAAGTGTGTTAACAAACCCAGAGGGTCATTCTTAAACCTACTTATGGATAAGAACTTTAGGCTGGTATCTATTCAACGGGTCCTTTCTCTCACACCATGCTTCTTGAGTCATCATACACATGTATAGGAGAGTATTTCAGTGTACTCTCTTATTTCAATATTCACTCTCCTTCTTCACCAATCAATAGACAATAAAGGGGCTAATTTTAGTTCTTCAAGAACATTGACACAGGCATATGTTCCATGTAGACGTGTACAGTAATTCCAAAGAAGTGTAATTAGTTGATGCTGGAAGATGTATAGACTATTCTATCTTTGGGACATGTGTGTGAGTGTATGCGTGTGTTTTCTTTGCTTTTTGATACAGTCTTAAGTTCACAATTCTTGCATCTTAGTTTTCTGCATTTCTCAGTTTCTTAACCATAAGAATAAATACAATATGAATAAAATAAACTCATCAGTTTTTCACCCCACTTAGGAAATATGTAATCAATGATTACTTTATTTACATATTGATCTTAATTACATCATGATCTGGTCTCTGTCTGCCTGTTTCATCTTGTCTTATTCTGTATCTTGAATATTCCTGTTCTTTTCTAATTTAATATTCTTACACACAAGCATTTGTTTCCTATTTTGACATGACTTTATTATAATCTCTGCATTGTTTATGTAGGTCTACTTATTATTAACGTATTTGTTTTTTTCTCTCAAACAAAGCTCTCTGAGAGACCTTGCCTCTTCTGTCTGCTTCTATAGCCTCAGAGCCTAGCATAAGCACCCAGGATACATTTATTGAACAAGTAAACGCATGAGCAAATGAATGCACATAGCAATTTGAAACTTAGAGGAAAGTGGAACAGACAGTCTCTCCCCACCCTCAAAAAATAGAACAAAGTGGAATATTCCAGTTTGGGGAAATATGGTTTGGTCTAAACCCCACATATATCACTGACAAGTGGCAACTTTGTGGAAACTACTTCCTCTCTTGGTGTCTCGGTTTCTAGAAAACAAACATCGCAATGCCATCTATTTGATATTTGTTGCATCTGACAGTGTAACACATCTAAAGTAATATGATTGGTAAATGCTGATAAATGTTCAAACGCTCTGATTTTAAAGACCTTCAGAAATGCTATTATGCACTAGAGTTCATTTTCTTAATTCATTGCATATATTTAAGGGGTACACCACAAATCTTGAAATAGATGCAGATAATGAAATAATTGAATATCAGTGGTAGTTAGAAGCAGGTTGTACTATGGCTCTATACTTTGGGCAGTGTATGAGCCTGCTAACTGACAGCTATTTTGAGGGTTGCGAAAACCATAGAACTCTCCTTCTGGGAGGTTAGCACCAGATATGCCAAATGTCCATGACTCTGTGTGCCTTTACTGACAGAACGGGTCATAGGAGTGCAGCGTGTCCATTTTTACTAGCAGCACAGAGATAAATTAATGAGATGCATCCCTGATGCCTGCCCAACTGACAGCCTCCACAGTGTCAAAAGGTTGCTAGACAGAAATGACAAGACTCTGGCATTTTGGGGACACTTCATGACAGAATTTGATTAAGAATCAAGGTTTATAAGAGGTCTACAGTGATACATCAGTTCATTTGAGCAGATAGACAAATATTCCCTTGCTTCCTTGGAAACTAAGACCTGAGCATCTGTAGCTCAGAACATGCTACATGCTACATGAACATGGAGCTCATCCAGAATGTGTGTCTCACATGAGATCCAGTATGTGCCTTAAAAAGAAGAACCAATACCTACATAGAATCACTAAGCTAAAATCCGATGTTCATGGAAACATCTTGTAAGACATGGTAATTGTATGTAACAGAGGCAGACACCATTAGAAGCTGGCTTGTTGGGCTGCCAGTTTTTGTTTTTGTTGTTGTGCATATTCTCTGAACTGTAAAGGTAAGCATGCTTCTTGCTGTATTTGTGTTGGGAGTATCAGCTCATACTTCTCCATTCATGAGAAAAAGAAGTATTGAGCTCCCAAGGTCTGCGTAGAGGCATGCAGGAAACCTGGATTCATTTTTGTCCTGGGATACATACTACAGATATAAAGTGATGCAAGTGTTTTAATTAGATTTCTTGGTTTTGATTTTGTGGTGCTAAGAATGAAATCAAGGACCTGAACCTAGAAGGCAAGTATTCTATCACAAAGAGACTCCCCAACTATACTAACCCTCTAAAAGGATAAACTCTAGTTCCTAGGATGTTTCTTATCTCTGGTGGTGCCTCTAGCTTATATTTTGGGTTTGGAATGCTCTGGCACTTATAGGTTTGTCTATGACACATTTGAAATACCCATGCTTCCCAACTGCTACTGTTAGCTCCTTGAGTTGACCCTGTCTATATCTTTCAGAGTTTTATGTGTTTAGCAACTGAAGAAGTCAATACAGAAAGGGGTCTAAACAATCTGTCTGCAGCCACACCAGTGTTAATGGGGAGACTGGAGGGTGAGTGCAAAGTCTTTCTGTTCTCAGACCTGCACCTGTCCCTTACAGCCATCTTCATCCATACTAGTGAATCAGTATATGAAACACTCCACTTAATCAGTGTTCTGGCTAATAAAAAGTGCATATGTATCAGTTATAACTTCTTACAAGTCAAAATATTTCAGTAGGGAAACCGAATGTGGCGGGGAGGATAAAATGAAGCAGGGGGACAGCCAAGGTGCCACCAGTGGGATGGCTGGAAGCTTGTCTGCTTTTCTTGGCTCCTAACTGGAGACTGGAAGACTACGTAAGGCAGAGAACAAAGGGAGACCCACTGGTTTAAAAAATGTGATATTGAGTGCCTTTTTAAGCTTAAGAATATGAGCCTGTACAACAGAGACACTGCGAGTGAGATTCAGTTTTGTCAATTCAGAAGATGCCACAAGGCTTTTCAGTGGCTACCGGAGATCACCATGGTCATCAATGCCTGAGTTGAGAGGAAATATTACATTCTTGGCTAAAAGAGGGCTATCTAAGACAAACTTTCTTTGTTTTTTAAATATTTTTAAATGACTGACAGCAGCCAAAGTTCCCCTCCAGTTCTGCAAATGTTTTTATAAAGGACCAGTTTGTGTATGTTTTAAGATTTGTTTGTTTTGGGACCACATGTTCAAAATAAGTCACTATGAAAATAGCTGTAAATGGAGGAACACGACTGTAGTTCAAAATAACCGTTTATATGTTGGCACATTCCTAGACTTTTCCAACCCCTTTCCTAGATTAGAGATGCAGAAAATTTCATATACGTTTACTTACCTACTTGGTGGCCATAGAAAGAGCCAACTCTCAGCCATGACCTGAGTCTTTCTTCTGGACATGCATCACAGATAGTGTCACTAGAGAGCAACTAGAGCAGGGACATATTCGTGTGTGAAAGAGAATATTTATATTTTTAGGAAAACAGAAATCTCAGAATAGTTTCTGGAAATTTAATGAAGATAGTTTAACTGAAAATATTTAAGGATTTATTCTACATATAGCCAACATTCATTGGTGACTATGCCCCAAATTCAGTAAGCACAATAATCTTAGAGGAAAAGGTGGATATGCTTCCTTTAGTTACCTAAGTGGTAAGAACCTCATGAACAAAATGATGTGTTAGGGCTGAGCATGCTTCACTGGCATGATGTTCAAATACCCCAGTGCACGGACCCTCTGTCTAATCACCCAGGAAATGGAGCGAGGGATAGCCTAGAACTGATATTGAGAAGGGACATGGAAAATCTGAGTATTCTTCAAATTTCTGACACAAAGACAAGCACAGGATTCTTGGTTTAGATGGCACTTATGGCTTTGCCTCATTGCTTGAAGCTTCTGACTAATTTGTATCACATCAGGTATGTTAAAGAGGAATTAGAAACTGTATGAGTCTTTCTATGGAATGCCTTTCTCACTCCAAATACAGGATGTTGAAAATGAGTGTCCCTCTTGAAAGAAAGTGTGTTATTGTTTCATTTTAATTAATTATCTTATTTATTTATGATGATGGTTAACAAAGCCATGGCTTCCTGCATACAACTACTCTACTAGCTGAGATATATCAGCCTTGATTTTAAAGCATTTAACATACGAAGGATGTATGCCCATAGCCTCCAGACAGTTCTACAGAGCAGAAATTTTGGAGTAGGGGCACCCCTGGAATTCCTTTTATGAACTGAAAATCTCACAGCCTCATTTTGTCTCAGTGTTTTAAGTTAGTTCCATAGCTTGTATGTCAAAGGTCATCATGATGGGTAAAGAAATAAATTTGGGAAAACATCCAGTAAAACAGATGACACTATGATGACTATTGACAGTGAATGATTTTAAGAGCATGTGTTTTATGGACATTTGGACAAGAGAGTGCCCTAAGAATTGTGTTCCTCTAGGATCGCCCCCCACCTCAACGTGGTGGGCCACTTGTAACACTCCTCCCCCTTACAGACCCATCCCTTTAGCCCAGTTGACTGAAGATCTAGGGCTCTGGGTCCTTTAGCAGTCAGGAAGAGTGAATTTTGCATCAAGATGGCCATGTCCTTCTCCACAAATGCAGGACTGGTCATCTCAATCCTTCTTCCTGGACCTAATAATCTAGACCAGACCTGATATGAACCATTTTACCACAGGTACAAGTAGTTTGGACAGGAGGCATGAGAAAGAAAACTGACACATAGTCAATCTTTTAATCACACAAACACACAAAAGCTTGCTCTTCATAGGGCTCTACTGCTTAACCTCAGGATAGATTCCAATGCTGTGCTGTAGACAAGTGACTCGACTGAGCACAGCAATCATTAACCATCTGATGACCCAGAGGTGATAATTCATAAAGTTTTTTAAACATTTCATCTTTCGACTGTCAAAATCTACATTTGTTAAAATCAGTATTTAGTTTTCCTAGTTTTGTTTTGTTGAGTAAAAGAAGTCTATCTTAATACAGTTATACAAAAGCCTTTCGGCAAATTTAAGGGTAGCCACATAGTGTTGAATTTTTTATGTTTTACCATGAATCCAACAATACAATAGAAAAGTAAAATAATGAATATTTAGGCGCAGAAGCATAAAGAGTAAAGAGAAGTTGTTTAATTTTCTTCCTTTAAGAGTTAAATAAAAACCAAATGATGACGCAGCCACAAGCCAAGGTGGTCAGTCACAATTTTATCTTCTAAGGGTTCTACCACATGGACTTCCCAGCTACCATTCCATTCTGATGACTTCCCCTTGGCTGAGCATGAGTGTTAGGGTTCACCGCCGTGGGCTCACTCATCCATTTAGTGGCTGCTTTAGAAGAAATTTGCCCTTGCCAGAAGCCCTCTTTATACAAAGTTCTTAGCATCTTCTCTGGTGAGAGGAAAGCCATTTACAGCTAAGGTCCAAGAGGCTAGGCTACATATGTGTCAGGCAGCATAACTTGCCATCATCATCCTCGTGGTACTGGTCTTCCAGGCCTGGCAGATGCAATATTCAGTGTGTCCTGGAATCTTACTCCAGACTTCCAGAGAAATGCTAATGCCAGGCAGTCCCAGACAGGTTTGAGGCTCCTACGTGAGGGGCTGTGAAACTAAGTTACCATGAAGCCGAGAAAGCAAATGAAGTCTAAGTTACATTGGGGTCTCTAGGATGTTAAAGAAGCTAACATTGTGTGACATCTGATGAAAAAGTATCTGCACGTAGACATGTTGCTCGTCCAAGAGAGAAGCTACTTGTGCAATAGGCATCAAAGTCTGGGTGGAGCAAGACTACACAAACTCTTCGGAGCTCAGACAATTCTATTATGAGCTCTAGATGCTGGGCACAGAGCTGCAAGATTTGGTGTTTTCTGTCCTGGGGTTTGGCCAGATCATTGGCTGCTATGTTTCCCTTCTTCCATTCTGGAATGGAGACATCTGACTGTGTGTGTTTTATTCTAGGAGAGCTCACAACCAAGAAACTGCCTTACATTTCAGAAGAGTAAAAAGGTGTCTGATGCAAATTCAAGAGGGACAGAGATATAAATCTCTGGGAGGTAAGAAGTCTGCTATCAGAGCTATTGATGCCACAAGGAGACAGACTGAGGGCAGCATTGGAGAGGCTCTAAGGAGAGTTGAGTATCAGATACAGGTAGCATGACATGGGCTCTGAGGAGAGTGATCAAGATCCCCATGGCAGCAGCAGAGGGCCTCTTTTGTGAGGATGGCTGTGGTTTCACAGCAGGAACTCGCAGCCAAGATCTCTGATTCCTTGGGGGTATGGATATGTAAACTCCTTTCCCCAGGTGAGAAATCCTGGTACCTGGAAAACTATTGGCTAGATATTCATAGGCAACATTTCTGCAAGTGCCTGTCTTTAGTTAGACTTGACAGATTGTGTCCTGAGCAGCATCTGGATTCTAACATCCCATTCTTACAAATACACTTAGATTTTAAGTAGTGTTATAACCCTTAAAGACTATAATGCTGTCCTGACTGCATTTTGTATTATGAAATTGGCAAAGTCTTTCAGGAAAATGGAAGGAAGGTTATAACTCAACAGTGACATGTTTGGCTGTTATATTGACAAAACTGACAGACTTGTGAGGGTTTTGTTTTTTTATCGATTGTCAACTAGAGAGACTTTAGAATCACCTAAGACACAAGCATCTTTGCATGCTTATTAGGAATTGTTTACTTTAAATCTTTTGGGGTGGGAAGACCTACTGTAATTGTTGACAATGCCATTCTGAAAGACAGACTAAATATAGAGGAGAAACAGAGGTGAGCAATAGAATTCACCTCTTCAAGCAGTCACTAGGTGACTAGCTGTCTCAGGCTTTGTAGCTTCAGGCTATCCCCTGAAGCCGTGAACTAAAATAAGCCTTCCCCTCCTTAGGTTGCTTTTTTGATGGTGTTTTCTCACAGCAACTAAAAAGTAACAAAGAAATACACTTGAATTTCTTTGATGTAACTGGAACTGAAGCTCCAGCTCATTACAAATGTTGTGTAGAATTTACATGGTCACTTAAATGTTTCCTGCATTTCTACAAAAGAATCTGCAACGAAAGCCATAAATGGGATGTAATTTGTAAGCCTTTCATTAAATAATGATTCTCAGCTGGATGTCTTTAAAGGAATATTAATGCAAACACATGTAACTAGCATTGCAAAAAATTAGCCTTGCTGACTTAGTCTTGAATCAATCATTTTAAGCCATGCATTAGAGTTGCTGCTGATACATTTCTGTCTCAGACAGTTCAGCACATAGTGTGGGATGAACACAGTGGTTTTTAGAGTATGATTTGTGTGAAATGCCCCTAGCATTTCAGGTTTCCTGGGTTTGCAGGGAATGATCAAATCCATATGTAGAGAGTTGGGGATAGAGTTCAGTGGTTGAGTGGTTGCCTGGCATGTTCCAGACCCCAGGTTCAACTTCCAGGACTACAAAACAGAACCAAATAAAGCAAAATAAAACACCATACGTGGAAAAAAAAATGAACTGGCGTTGTTCAAGGTTCAGTGGCTTATTACTAATTTCTTACATGTATGCTATTGGGCACAGAGCTAAGGAATGAGTCAAACTTCATCTAACCTAGAGATGGATTTCTGGATTGGGTCATGGTGTGGGTGTGAATGTGGTATGTTACCATCTCCAAGATCAAATTTTGGTTGCCAAGCTATGAAAATATTATGAGGCATTTTCAAGTTTTCTTTCCCATCATTACTGAACTAGTTCTACAATATTTGCTCTGTGGTTACAGTGTTTATGCATGCATATTTTATTAGACACAAGCTACTACTTTAACAGCAAAGATTAAGTCATCACCAAATGACACTTAAAGATTTAGCTAAAGAAAGATTGGGACAGGCAATAAAGTAGAATTCTAAGGCATTGGATTAGACATGTCTGCTGTTTTCTGAGGAAAACCAATGAAAAGAACTTTCTAGGTTTACAGGTCTGTGGCCACGCCAAGGTCCAAGAGGTTCCCTGTGGAAATCACTGTGTGGAGTCGACACTATATGATTTCGTCTTCCTGCCTTTATCTCACACATGCTCCTCCTCTCCTCTGCTTCCTATTTGAGCAGTTCATTCTTTAAACAAACTTATTTTCTGAGGAATGGATTTGAATAGTTGCCACTTTATGGTGTGGTTTAGCTTGTTTTTTCCTGGTTAGGTTAAGAGTCAAATTTGTAGTCAGTATGCTATACAAACAGAGCTATATCTGACCCACTTCACGGTATCAACATGTATGCTGTTAGATTAATTCCCAAGTCAGTTTCTAGGTGATGTCAGATTGATCCATTTGTTTTAGAATTTCCCACAGACCTTTCACCTAATAATTTTGGTAGTGGTACATGAAGGCTGCCCCAGCCTATTATGTTATGAAAAGATAGTAAAATCTTTCTGAAGGGGTGACAACTAAATTACTAAGTGAGGGCGATTAAAACTATGAAAAAGTAGTCAACTTCACTGAGCAGGCTCAGTGTAACACGAAGGAAATGACAAAACAATTCCAATGAACAAGCATATGCAGAACTTTCAAGGGTATTTTGTGAGTCTATTTTCCATTGTCAAACAGTAAAAAAAAGTCTCCCGGCCCAGGAGTGGTCAAAGCTGCAATGTGGAACAGCTCTATCAAAATGATTAGCAAAAACAGTGCAGCTGCAACTCCCCAGGCACTGGCATATGGTCAGGTGACATCCAGGTCACTTCAGTTTCATTGTAACTGCAAGTGAAATTCCAGTGAAGGTAACTGGTGACAGTTCAATCTTATTAAATAAACAGTATACGTGTACTTCTTCTGATGCAAATATTTAGAGAAAAAAAAACAAATTCTGAAAGTGAATTGTCTTATTACTTTCAGTATGTTTGTTCCGTAACAATCATCAAATTGGTTCCAGTATCTTCAGGAACAAACAGCTAAGGGGCGGGATAGGATAGACAGTTCAGTGATTGAGAGCACGTGTTGCTCTCGAGCCACAGAGTACCTACTATAACCCTGTAACCCCAGTTCCACAGGCTCTGACGCCCTCTTCTGGCCTCCGTGGACACGGCATGCACGTGGTGCACAGACACAGCCAATAAAAAATACCCATGCACATAATGTTAAAATAAACATTTCGAAAAGAACAAATAACGTAATTGAAATAAAACAAAAACAAAGTTTCAGATACGTTTGTTTATACTTCTTTCTGCCTTAGCCTGCTCAGATTCCTCACTGAGAAAACTCCATATGACGCAAGCCATTATCCCAAGTTGAGTGTATAGTTACTCCCCCTCTTGACACATGGAAGGAGGACCAGTTTTGCCTTCAGGGGCTCCTTAAGGGCCTCATTTCTTAACTCTTTTGGGAGATCTTATTAGAGCAAGGGGGTTTGTACTGTAAAAATACCACCATTTGACCTTAGCCTAAAAGATCCTTGAGACTATTTCTTATCTGTCAGTGTCTCTACCTTGTTGTCTAGACAAATGCCCTCCCTACAGTAAATAATCAGATAACAGCTGACTCTGCTAGATGGGTTTGATTAAGTCTAGATACAAATCCGCAGAGCTTGCCTGTGGTGGTTTTTTTGTCAACTCAACGCCGCCATCAGATTGGCCTGTAGACCAGACTGCCTGATGGATGTAGGAAGACCCAGCCCACTGTGGAGTGGGCCATCCCTAGTCAGGTGTTTCTGGGTTGTATAAAAAAAAAATCAAACCGTGCAGCTACGGGAAACAAGCCAATAGACAGCGTTCCTTCATCACCTCTGCTTCAGTTCCTGCAGCAGAGGTGCAGGAGCTTTCTCCTTGAGTTTCTGCTCTGACTTCCTTCGAAGGTGAACGATGATGCAGAAATGAAAAAAAACAAATCCTTCCCCAAGTTGAGTTTTGTCAGTGTTTTTATCACAGCCACAGAAAGCAAGCTAGGGCATTGCTCTTCCTCAGAAGGCAGAAAGTGGCAGTGTTTCCCAGCCCTTAGTTTTTCTCAACATATCCACCGCTGACAGGTTTCCTTACTTTCATAAGCCGCCCAGCTGAAGCTGCAACCCAAACCAGACCAAATCAAACCGCATTAGGAAGAGCCCAGATTTAATGGCTAAAATGCTGCCAGACGATTTTCTGTCCCCTCAGAGGGGAGACTGGGAAGAGAGACTGAAAAACCACAAGTCTGCTTTCTGGGGTGCAATTTAAATACCCCGTGGGAGTGGCCTCGAGTGTCTCTGGGGGAGGAGCCATGGACGGAGGGCTTTCTGGAATGGGGCAGGGTTGATGGGGGAGGGAGAGATGGGGAGGGGGATTGAGGTGGAGCTTCCTCCAGAACACTTCTCCCATTATTATCTCCCATAGATTATTGTTTAGAAGTATGTATTTCATTTTCCACCAAAAAATGTAAAAGGTTTTTCTTGCTTTCTTTTTCTTATGTTCACTAGTCTCCCCAACACCAGTGCGTGGTATATAATGAAGAACACACTTTTTTTTTTGGTGTTTTTTTTGTTTTGTTTTGTTTTGTTTTTCCATACTGAGTTTCTCTGTGCAACAGCTCTGGCTGTTCTGGTACTCGCTCTGTAGACCAGGCTGGCTTTGAACTCACAGAGATCTGTCTGCAGAACTAAAGGACCACATTTTTAAAGAACCAGTTTGTGAAGGGTTGAGATAAAATGCTCTGGACCCATTTCCTTCATGCCATATTTTATTCGATGGCTCAAAATTTACTTTTGCTGGTTGTAAGATCATCTGTGTGTGTTGAGAAAACGTCCTCAATTTCTCCTTTTTAGGTCTTTATCACTTAAATAAAGCAACCAATATCTATTTCTTGCATAGCTAAGAAACACCTCTAGCAAGTTATTTTGTGTATTTGTGGTAGATAGTTAAGTGCTCCACTTAGTACACCCCAAGTCACTCCTACTCCAGAACCCTTCAGATTTCCAGGTCAGGTGCCCATACTGCATGGTCTTCAACTTTCCACTCACTTCCAAGTACACACATAGCCTGTCCTCTGTCCTTCAGATTGCTGGAAGACATTTCAGAGTTAAGCAGCTTTGCTGAAAATGGGAGACTATGAGAGTCATACAACAGACTGCAGGGCCAGCACCCTGGAATGAAGTCTGGTCTTGCCCCATCACAGGCATGGGGTGAGGGGTGGGGCTCACTCTCCAGGCTTTTCTTTAGCTCTGGGTCTTCTGTCTCATTCTTGAGCATGCACCCTCAGCTGTGTCCCTGTTTGCTCTCCTAGGTTCTCTCCTTTCCTGTCTACATGGCCTTCCCACCAAAATGAATACTATCAGAGGACGGTTGAGGCTTAGATATAATTTTACTTTATCAAAATACCATCTCTCTGAAGGAAACATTGTTGTGCGGGCCCTTTCCACAGTGGGCACCTTTCCTTCTAGGTGAGGCCCAATTTTGCTTTTGAAAACTCAAAAAAAAAAACTCGTTAAAAAAGTTTCTCAAATAACAACAAGCAATTCTTCTTTTAGAAATATTCGGATGCATTTAGAGTAAGCCACAAAATGTTTACTTTTCTTTAGAAGGAAGAGCCTGAGGCAGAAGGGAAGGGCCTGGTAAGGTAATAAGACATAAGACTCAGTGGTGCAACCCACCTGTGTGGGTGATGAACTTGATCCTACTGGCACTTTCTGAAGAACTGTCAGACGTGTTCCAGCACTGTCCAAATTAAGTAGATGATCTTTATCTATTTAGGTTTTTACAGTGAAAATAATGACTTTCCAACATTCCCAGTATTGTATGTGTTAGCCTCAGGCCAGTCTCACAGCAGACTGGATGCTGCCATGTTAGCTGGGGTAAATAGTGGGCTCATTGTGCAAAGAGGAAGCTATTAAATATCAGATCTTAGAATCCTGGTTTGCAATCCACCGATTTTACTTGGCTACAAGATCTTGGGCAAAGCAATTTCTTTATTTCTGTGACCTCATGTATCTTAAAAAATGAATAATCAATTATATTAGTTAAAGTCATAAGTTAGTAAAATTGAATTCTCAAGGTATATTCACTTTTGATAAAAGGATATCAAAATAAATATCAACTATCAATCAACAGATTAAATAGGATCAGGGTGCTATTGATATTTGAAGGCAATTTAACTAAGACACAAAATGGTGGAATCAAGCTTTGAATAGGTCCTTCAAACAGAGCAGTGATAAGCAGACTATGTAAATGCAATTTTAAAATGTTGAATGTTGGGATTTTTATCAAACTTTAGATCAAAGAATAATGGCTTACTTCTTCAGCAGTTGGGAGTGGGAAAATATGATAAAAATAATAGAATAATTTTTTAAATAACAAAAAGAGTTTCTCAGGAAGTGTCAGAGTCAATGAAACTTCACCAAATCTTTCTTAAGTCCATTCAGATATACCCAGGCATCTTCAGCGATAGAAACTTAACACTTCTGGGGCATAACCAAGGGTAACAGCAATAGCCTATAATATTTTGGAAGTCTCTTGAATATCCCTGACCAAAAATTCAGTAGGGCTTCTCATGCCTGTTTCTTTTTTCTTCTTCTTCTTCTTTTTTTTTTTTTTTTGGTTTTGCTAGATAGTCTATGACTCCTGGGGAGATCATTTTCAGTCAGCAAGAGTAAAGATTATTTAAACTATACATGTATACACTGACTTACGTGTATTAGACATTTTTAGACAATTAATGCAATTAATGTTATGATTTTTTGACACTTTCAGACATCTTTACTGTTATTTTGCCCTCTTTTTTTTTTTTTGTATTTACCTCCCTACCCCTGTACAACGGAAACCTTCCAATTTCTCATTTCCTATTGTTCCCTCTGCTCACCACCCTACAATGGTCCCTTTTTATTTCTCATTCCCTGTTTTCTGCGGTTATTCCGGGTTACACAGTCATATCTGGAAGAGGGCATCAACTGGTTATACCATGCCGGATAGTTGCCCCCAAACATATGCAACACGCATGCACGCACGCACACACGCACATAATAAGCCATGAATTCGAAAGGAAGCAAGGGAGGGTACTTGGGAAGGTTTGGAAAGAGGAAGGGGAATGGGAAAAGATGAACCCGGCAGGAGCTTGAGAGGTACAGGCTCTTGCACAAGCATGAGAACTGGAGTTCAGACCCCGCACCTGCAGAATGTCAAGTGCGTGCATGAACAACCCACCCCCAAATACTCACGTAAATCCAGTTTCTTAAAATATCGCACATGACACATATCCACCAAATCCTGCAATCAGTTTTCTTTTGTCAGAAATTTCAGAAAGATAGCAAAATGAAAAATGTGCCAAGTGTATCCTAAGAATTATTGTGCATTAGAAATTCTTTTCATTTCAGTGACTTGAAATACCACCAATACAAGACTTTCATAGCTATGAATACAAAGTGAAAACAAAACAAAATGACTTAACTCTCGTAAACACACTTGACCTTGCCAGAGAGCATAGCCTTACAAGCAGGAGTTGATGCTATTTTTTGGTGACTGACCGGAAGATGCCTGTGGCTGTTTCTGTCAGTGAATGTGGACACTGTTCTGATACTCCAACCAGGCAAGCTACTCAGCTTTTCCTGTCCTTGGCAAGTTAGTGACACTTCCGTAATGCTTTTTCATTTCTTCACCTAAAAATAATTCTGATAATTGCTTAGACATACATCAGCACTAAATAATTATAAAACTTCAAGATGCTATTTTCTGTGCTAACCTCACACCAATAAATCATGATATTTCAACCTCGTATCTCTGTTCACCTGCATGTATGTGACACACGTACGTGTATGAACATTTTGCTTGAACATATAAGTAGGAAAATCTCAGGAAGCCTTATGGCCTCTAAGAGTTTATTTCCGTGTAACCAGGGAATCTTGCTTTCCATCTTCAATAACAAAGACTTAAAATGACACCTTTTGCTTTGGTTCAAGTGTTAGTCCTCTTGCAATTACCCCAAGAGAGTTGATACGTCCTGTGACATTAGATGCAATTTGTCAGAAATTCTTGGTTCTAAGAAGGAGAGTTGCTGGTGGGGGCATTGGACACCTGGAGGGCAAGAATAGAGTTAGCATTAACTGACAGAAGATCTCAGAGAAGGGGCCTGGGAGCATCGAGGACATAGATGAATGAGATATAAGTCAGACTCTGAACGCACTGGAATTTTCTTCTTCCTCTTTCCTCAGTAGGTTTTCTGGCATCATGGACGTAGAGAACAAGGAAATAGCAATCACTGTGTACAAGGATGATGCTGCAGTTGGTCAGCTTTGGGTTCCTGTCACAAGATAACGAAAACTCATGATCATGGAAGTTCTACTCTACGGCTCATCCTCTCTTTTTTGGGCTACTGATCAAAGCCGCGCATCATGGTGGGAGTGTAAGACAGAACAGGCTGCTCACTTCCTGAGGCAGAAAGCCAACATTGACAAGCCTGGCTGTGAGTCTGAACACCCTTTCAAGGCACGTTCCCAATGACCTAATCGTCTCTCACTAAGCCTCATTTCTTAAGGACTCAGTGCTGCCCAGGTCACCACCTTGAGAAGCGCATCGTCAGCATGCGGGGTTGGAAAGACACTTCTGCAAGCTACAGCAGAGAAGGGAGAAACTTCCCTGCTGCCTGAGAGGGGAAATGAGAGACCCTGCTCTTTGATCAGGCACAAGGATGAGCCTTCTGCAGTTTCTAAAGGAGGCCAGCGGAGAGTGAATGACTCAGGCAAGACGCGCTAGCCAGTACACTCAGAATGTACAGTGTGATTCGTGTGGAGTCTGCCCATACCTGAGCGCTGAATGTGCCAGTTAAACAGACAGTGAAGCGGGTGGCAAATGACTATTTAAGATGTCCTATTATGCAGTGTAATAATGACTCTTACAAATGTGTCAATGGAAACTAAAAGATGGCAACTTTGAGGTTTCAAGACAAGTCAGGCAGGATAAACAACCAGAGTATCATTTACTTTCAGCTAGAGTCCTAATTCTAATCAACTTGCACATTTTAGTGATGGGAAAAAAGGAAACAGACAATAGTCTCCTTTTTCTCTCTCTCTCTTTCCCTCCCTCCCTCCCTCCCTCCCTCCACCCCTCCCTCTGTCCCTCTCTCTTTCGTGTGTGTGTGTGTGTGTGTGTGTGTGTGTGTGTGTGTGTGTTGTTAGGGGCAGTACCTGTTCTGTGTGGGTATGTGCAGGTGCATGCACTCGTCTGTGCACACGTGGAAGCCACAAACGATGCCAGGTGTCCTCTCCTATTGTTCTTTCACCTTGTCTTTTGAGATAGGCAATCATACTATTTTAGCTCAACTGGCTGGGCAGGACCTGGCTGTCTCCACAGCCCATCAGCCTGATGTTACAGGTATGTATTGTTATCCCCAGCTTTTGCATAGATGCTAGGAATTTGAACTCTGGTCTTCATGCTTGCTCAGCAGTCAAATTACTTTACCCTCTGAGCATTTCTCCAGCCCCAGCCAACAGTCTTAAGAGCCAAAGTGACATCCAGAGTATGGTCCTGAATCACCATGACAATGAAAGATGAGGGCTGATGGTGAGGGGCAGGTGGAGACAGCTTTCATACAACAGTGAACTGTTAAAATATAAAGAAATTGAATAGGGTATTTGATAAAATTTTGACCAAGAAAATAAAGATGCTAGGTTTTTACAGGATATTTGGGTGCTATATGTCATGGTGTTTTGTGTCTGTGTTCCAAGAGACAATCCTAAAACTTTCCTCTCATTTTCAGGGGGTTGAAATGGTAAGCCAGTGTCACGTGGACAGTGCTTATCCCTCACAGGAGTTATAATTGTGTTAAACCCAGGGAGAGGCTCTTGTCTGTGATGAGTATGCAGTAGCCTTCAGGGGTTTCCCATTAGGGAATCTAAATTAAAACTTTCCATAAAAATAGCATCTACCAAGAAAAGACTGTTGGGAACTTGGGAGACTTTAATATCTTTGGAAGTTAAAACTCAGGTAAGGGGTTAGACTTAGACATTCTGGGGCTGATGCATGGGTTCTAGGTAAGAGCAAGATGGTGGCAATCTTCTGAACAGGACCGTTTGGGGAGTGCTCAGGCCTGCTATCTTTGTGACTTGGGCATATGGTCTCAGGTAATAAAAAGGTTATTTAAGATGTCATATTAAACAAAGTAATAATGACCCTTAAAGGGTGTGAATGGAAACTCTCAGGCTATAAGACAAGCCAGGCACTATAAACAGCCACCAACTAGTTTCAGCTAGAGTCCTAATTCTAAACAACTTACACACTTTTAGAGTTACAGGAAAAAAAAGTACTGATATCCAAATAAACAGGGTGAGTACGTGATTAATGTTTTAAAACAGCAAACACTTCACATGTGTGGCATGCCTCTAACAGGCTGGTCAGGAGACCTAGTTTTCATTCCGTCTTCACAGACTGTGTTTTCTTTATTTATTCTTCTTATGTTGGATTCCTCCCTTTTAATTTATCTTTCATCTTGATTTTCTCTAGGGGGCAAAGTGAAAATGTCTAGAATAAGTGAAAAAATCTAAAACAATTACCAAATTTAAGGCTGAGAAATAGCCAACTCAACAACCATAATTTTTCAGCAAGATAAAAATGGCTGATAAAAAGATATTGTTGGTAGCTAAGTTTTTAGATTGAGAAACACCTAAAATTAGGTTTATATTTTCTTTTTTTTAATCTTCCAACAGTTTATTAGAAAGAATGTAGACATTTAAAAAAAATCCCCACTGTCATGAACATAAATTGAGGTTTTCCAGCCAGGGCATAAGCTGAAATCAAAACAGAAAATTAAAAAAAAAATCCAATAGTGTATTAACATTTTCCACTCATTTGCCATACTGACAGTACAAATACAAATCTGGTCTAAAATGTACAGACTCTCAAGCAACAATGTACAGCTTTCTTCGTCCTCCATGCTAAGAGATGTAAGAGCTCAGGGGCCAAACAATACCAAATGTTTAGGCTTCACAAACCATCTAAATTAGGGCATTCACTAGTTTTAGCTAAAATACACCTGAACACTGACAAGTGATCACATACAATAATGTGAAGTACATCTTTTGAAAAATAAACTTTAGTGGAATAACTCTGAAAGGTACACTGGAAGAATGGCAGGGTATCCGTTTAAGATATCAGCCAATTTGTTTCAGCCCCTTCAAGTCCATGGTCTAGGATCTAAAACTAGTTCTCTTTCCCTAAGCTGAGAGCTTCCTAACATGTAAGTAACTGTTATGAAGAAAGAAGACTTAGGTGAAATATGTGTACTCATCAGAGCTGCTCTATCAGTTGCCTAGGATTTCAACTGCTTCATGGAATCCTGGGAAATGTTCATGCATAAGGATATTGCCTTAGCTGACTTAAATTACCCCATACAATGGTACATTATCAACCCTTAGTGAAGCCTTAAAAAAAAAAGGTTGAAAAATGGGTTAAAGGAGGCAAACACAGCATCTGCCTTTAGAACTACCAACTCAGGAATTTTCTCAATTATGGAATCTTGCAGAAGCTTTTTCTTTTTCTCAAAATCCCGGCGACAACAACATTCCTTACTCCAGATCCGGCATTTTTTCGTCATCGCTGTCTTGTGAATCATCATCTGCTCCATCTACTTCAGGTAAATCTACATCCTCATCACCACCCATGTGATCCATCATCTCAGAGAAACGGCCAAAATTGGACATATCTTCATCCGAATCATCCTCCCAGTCTTTCCAGTTGTTGAAGTCCACACTCAGCCAATTGAGCTTTGCCCTCTCCTTTGTTAACCTAGGCCACGACTGGCCCGATTCTCCTTTCCGCAAACAACATAAAATTGATCTGTCCGTTCTTTTATGCTTGGAATCATTTGGATCAATACAATGAAAAAGATCAATTTCATTTAAATGCTTAAAATTAACACTTCCTCCAAGACAACTGAAAGTGAGTTTGGATTTCTCAAAATTTACATTAACATCTTTACTGTCTTCAACACAAAATTCAATGAATACATAGTCCCTTCGATCGTACCACTTTGCAGAAGCAGGCTGCATGGTGACCAGGGCAGGGGGCCAGGCGAACGGGTGGGCGGGCCTCACTGGGGCGGCGGCAGCGTTTTCTGCCCGGTCGAGGCCTCTTCTTGCTCCCCCCGGCGGCGACGGCGGTGGGCTCGACCTCTAGGTTTATATTTTCTAACAACAACAACAAAAAAATCATCCAAAGAAGTACTGAGGCTGAGAAGAGATGGGTCTATTTTACTTCTTATCTTGGGCAGATAAGGAGAATGAGGGCCCCTGAGGAGGAACTTCCTCTCATGGGTTTAAACCATCTTGGCCCAACAGTGCATGTTTTGTATGGTATACTGAGAGCAGAATAAAATCTGGTCGCTAATTCGTTAGGACAAAATGATTAAAACATGTTTCCTACGGATCTAAAAGGCAAAAAAAGGATCTGTTTTTGTTAATTTTTTTCATAATCTGTTGAGTCCAATTTATGCAGCCTGTATATGAATGAGTGTAGGTCCATCCATTGAAGCCCGGTTGACGTACTAAAGGCCACACCTTTAAAGAAAAGGGACTTCCCTTCACCTGTCATCTATCCACTGTCCGCAGCTCCTCATCTAGGGGTGGGATGCAGTGGAGAGGATTGGGAGGTGGGAGGTGGATCTGTGAGAAGCTGGAGGGAAATTGGGGGGTGAATGTGATCAAAATATATCTGAAATTCTCTAATAATAAAGCTACTATATTCTTTAAAAAACGAGTGTTACATGAAACTAAGGAGAGTACAAGAGAGAGACAGAGAGGCAAAGACAGAGACAGAAACAAACATGATTGTAAAATATTTGGAGAAAATTCTTGAGCCAGATGAGATCTTAGATCTGTTCCAATTGTAGACTGACTGACATTTTGAAAAAAGAAGGCAGAAAGTCCTGTTGACAAAAACTTTCATGGCTGTGGTCAGGCTAATGTACTCAAATACAGAGAATATGAGTGTGCTTTTTCAAAGTCTGGCAGAAGAATAGGAATTCATGATCATGACAATTAATGCAGTTAAAAAATATCACAACCTGGCTACTCAAACTAATATGTATATATATATATATATCTGAGCAGAAATTTGAATGGCTTTATGAGCTGAGATGGGGTCCATAATACAGATGTAAATGACTCTTATTCATAGAGGGTGTGTCCAGTATAAGGATGGGCCAGGCATGGACATTCTGTGCTTCCCATCCGTTCCTCAACCAGTCTCCATAGGCTTTCCTGGAGCAATGTATACATACCTCAGTGCTGTTCATCATCTGCTGTGAGTGAAGGTTTGTGTAGGGGATAGTTGAAGTGTCTGTGGTCTGGCATTTATTTATTTCTATTTAGTTTCATGGTTTGTACATAGCAGGTCTACACTGGACACAGGTACAGTCACCCAGGGCTTCCAAGAGAAAGCGAGACTCACTAGGACATTTGGTCTACAGGCTCTCATCTGTGGAGAGTCCTTGTGAAGCATGCAGAGGTTACTTTGGAAGTGATTTTCATGGGAAATTAGCAGGAGGAGAAATAGACTGGCTTCAAGGTGTTGCTTAGATCCAGTGCCACACATTCAGTCCTTCTTAAGTTGTCATGGTCAAATAATTATAGTCTTTTGGTTTTTTGTTTGTTTGTTTGTTTGTTTTGTGTTTTTGAGATAGGGTTTCTCTATGTAAAAGCTCTGGCTGTCCTGGAACTTGCTCTATAGGCTGGGCTTGCCTCAAACTGACAGAGATCCACCTGCCTCTGCCTCCCAAGTGCTGGGATTAAAGGCATGCACCATCACAACGTGGCTAACCTACAGTCTCTAAGACATAGAAAACACAGCATCTTCCCAATCATCTTCTAGAGACTGTTGTCCCCTGTACTGTGCATAGACAATTGGAAGGCACTTATTAGGTACATTCTAA